CTTCCGATCTCCCCAAAACCCCAAAACCCCAGCATGCCATTGATAGAAATTTGAAAGTATTTAAATTTAATTTTATCTGTTAATTAATTCAACTGCTTATAATAAAATGTCTTAACAAAAATCTCAATAACTTACACTTGGCTAATCAGCTCTTGCAGGTTTCTATGGTTCAGATTTTCAGACAAGAAGAAGTCAAAATAGCAATGAAAAGTATAGAAGTAAGCTTCTATTTAATTTTTAACCAATTAGGAGGTATTGATTCTGCCCACAAGAAGTCGTCTGCACCTATGAGTCCAATTGCAAACAATGAGAAGGCTAAAAGATTGTTTCCTGTATGTATTATTTCAATTATCAAATTAACGATGACATAGTAAAAATTGCATCAACTAATTGATGAAAACATAAGGCTAAAATGCTAAAACCAAGAATTCAAAATATTAAATCAGAGATACTTAGACCAACTTGGGGTAAGTCAATATTTATCTTAAGTTAGAAGTATAACCTTTTGTCTAGTCAAAAGAAAAAATAAATCAATATAAGGGTAACCTTGCTTCTAAAGCGACCTAAGAACTTGATTTCCATCATTCTAAATTTGAGATAATGAAGATGAATATCTTGAATCTCACTGATAGAGAAAGATTCTAGCATAAAAATTTAAAAGGACTTATTGGCTATGCAAAGAAATTGACCTAGGAATTAGAGGACTACCGTATTAAAGTTAAAATGGCTGAGAAGATCATTCAGGATTTAAAGAGTACAGGCAACGAAAGTTTAGATTCACTACTCCACATGCTTAATGGTTATCAGGCTAAGTACAACTAAGTCAAGCATGAGATTGAAAAATTGAAACAGCTGGTGATGCTAAAAGATGATGAAATTTTATAGCTTGATGAAGATATTGGTGATCTAAGTGTAAGTATTGAATTTAATAATAATATGATTAGAGTTTTGTATCAACAGCCAAAGCGAAATTAGAAGATAAAATTGATGATTTGTTGCATACTCTAGAAGAAAATAAAAGAATGATACGAAGATAGGATAAAATTATTGTAGATCTTTAGCAGAAGAATGAGGTATCTTAACTAAATATTGCAGAAACAGCTGAAGAAGCCCAAAGAAGAGGAAAGGAAAAGAACAAGCTTTAGCTTAAATTAAAAGAACTTGAGGATCAGAAGAGTAATATCTAGGACTCAATTCATAACATAGAAAGCAAGATTGGCACCTTCAGAACATAGTATGGCAATAGTTAAAATAGTTCTCATCCATACTAGACAAATGCGAATTAAGAATCATAAAACTATCTATAACAGCATAGCATTCAATGGAAAGATGTGCCTGTTATCAAAGGTAGTACTGCAATAGTGAGGGATAATACTACTTCAAGTAAACAGCCATTGTAGTAAAACACCAATACCTAGAATACTGGTCCTTCTCCATTAAAATCAGCTTTAGCTTCTAAGTCAATAAAAACAGGATAGTAAACAAACGTTTATGGAGATGCGAAATGAAACTAAAATTGTTGAGTATCTAGACTTGGTAGCAATTTACTTAGCATTAATAATTATACAAGATAGATAAATGATAGTTAATTTTTACATAAATTAAGCACTTAATGAATAAATTTTAATTTTAAGATTATTATTATAATATAGTTTAAGTGGACTCAGAAAAGCAAGTAGAACTGTAGACAACCGTTTTTAAGATAAAATAAATATCAATTAGAGATTTGGATTAAGAATAGCAAGAAATCAGCAGTGGGAGCTCCTGTCATTAGGAAATTCTAGAACGAGGAGATTTATTAAAAGTATAATGTAAACCTTTCAGGAATCCCCCTTCAAATTGCAGCCATCTGAACCAATAAATACACAAAGTTATTATTTCTCAAAATTATATACTGATTAATTAAATTTAAATTGTAAGTGAATAGCTATATATGTTAATCTTAATTAATAAACTTATATATTCAAATCATAATACAACAAATATTTAGTAAGAATGATGATTTTTTAATATCATTTCATTATTCATTGATTATTGGCAACTACATCATCATATCGTTCTTGTTAATCGACCACACTAATTCTCTATTAAACTAATTTTTCTTTTAGGAGCATCATAACATGATCAGAGCACCTTAATTCTATTGCTTGATCAATGCAACTTTTACCCTAGTTATTCTTAATCAATGGATCCCCTCCCAATTGCAATACTATCTTAATCATAAGATTTTACTAGCATTGCAGTGCAATATGAAGCGGAGTATTCCCATTTGTTTAAGTCTGCTGATTGATATGGTATCTTCTTTAGGGATCTTTTGGTTACAGAATATACTCTCTTACTTTCTGCAAGTTACCTTGCCTTACTCTATCCCAAATTGTCAAAACAATGTCTTCCTAATGACTTTGCATAATATCTAATGGAGTCTTGCCTTTATTATTTTTCTATGTTCTTAATGCATTATGATCAGAATCAGCAATAGCTAGCCTGTGTATTAAATCTAAGTTATTGTTATTTATAGCAATGTGCATCACATTATTCTTAGAGGCTGAGATTGCTGCCAAATCGCACATCAATTCACTCCATAGATACATTAACGTTGGAAATTGATCAAGCTAAGCAGCAAGTAATAGTGGTGAGAGTTTATCTTTGGTTGCAACTATTTCCTTGACTTGCTTAAAAGTAAGCTAGGATTTTCTTACAAATTATCCTTTCTAACACTGATATCTAATGAAGTCTCTCAACTTGTAAACTTTGGTCATATATCTAAGGATCACGTGATTGGAAGTATGTATAGCCGAGTGAAAAGGCAGATAGTCATTGGATTTCAATTTAAGGTCAAGTGCTTAGAAGCTATGCCAGATGTATTGTTTATTTGAAAGGTTTGCAAAGTAATTCTTGTTAATACCTTATTACTAGGCATATTCCATAATTCCAGAGTAATCAGTTAAGTCGACAGTGTCTGCTTCGAATAAATAGGCTAGATATTGAATCTTCTAGATTTCTATAGCTGCATGAACTGCAGTCTTGCCATCATCATTAGCTGCTAATACACTCACACCTTTGTTTAGCAAGAATTTAAATACTCCCATATTTCCTACTCTAATTGAAAATCTAACAGTAAATTAAGATAAATTATACTTACGTTAATGCATTGTCCTATCCATTGTTGATAATAAATTTTTAAAGATGCTCGTTGCTAATAAGAGCAAGATTCTTTTTAACCATTATACTATTTAGGTCAATTTATAATTAGTTTTAAACATTAATTCCTTGATTTTATAAAGACTGTCTTAGTTGCTCGTCTTTAATTGCAGTGTTATTAGATTTTTAATAATTTTAAAAATCTCTTAGATAATTGTAGCAGATTGAGATGATTGTATTTATTGATTTGAAATCCCCTGGAACAACATAGTCGAGCAGACTTAGATTTATATAATCTAGTAAGAAGGGATTAGCTTGATACTTCATAACAAGAATTTCAAAAACCTCTAATCTTTTATATCTATAAACCTATAATATAGGATGAATTTTACTTAATAGCAAAATGAGCTGCTGTTTTTCCTTTGTTATCCTAGCTATTTATAAAAGAACTTCTTATCTTATTGAATTCAAGAGACTCGATAAATTCCTTTAGCATCTAGATAGCATCCTCCAAATATGAATATTCTGAGAAACGTCTAGCAAAACTTTCAAATAATTATTGCTTGTTCGGAAGCCTCTATAAATTATCAGGAGATTCATCTTAAATGGAATAATATTGAGATTAATTCTATCGAACTGGACTTTATTAATATTGCATTTAGATATCCTTAGATTGTCTCCTTATCAACAGAGACCTGAAGGCCTTATGATTATGATGGTTATTAAGATTAATATTAGAAGTCTCAAGATTCTTACTAAGCTATATCAGATATTCTATTATTGGTAATTGTGAGAATTTAACTGCATAATGCAGGCTAAAAATAATTTAAGTCCATGCTAATAAAATTCTTACATTGTCTTGTTTTTAGCGTCCCTCTATCTAATATCAAAACCATTTTTTGAGAGTAACTTAACAAGCTAAAGCTTATCTACATATTTTATATAATTATTTATAAGTCTTACTATGTATTACTGCATAGAATGTGCAACTCATTCCTTTTTCATTTTGTCTCATCACTAGCTCTTTGCGATCCTTTATGCTAGAAATATTGTTAAGGTATCTCAAAATAAAATTCTCGTTCTCCTTCTTCTCAACGTTTTCGAACGCCTCCATAAACATGTCTAAGTCTTTAGAACTTTGCCTGATTGGTTTTGTTATCAATGTAAAGTTAAGATTCTCAGTAGAATAGCTATCTAATTATTATATTCTGGGTGGTTTCAAACCACTTCTGCTAATTTTTACTTAGTTCAATTTTCTTTTCGTTATTTGTTTTAAAGAATCGGTAAGTCTATTATCCTTTGACTTATAATGATTCATGACTGAGAATGAGTTACTTATATTGCTAGGCTTCATTATTGTTGAAAAAGTGAGAGCATTTGAATTATCAGAGACTCTAGCTTTATTTTGTGTTGACTTTATTGCAGAATATCGTTTGTTTAAGTATGCTGATTAAATTGTGAATTCTGATGCATGAGTCTATAGTTCGTCTTCATTCTCATTGTTACTTTTAGCTTCAAATCAATTTGCAGATGATTCCTTATTATTTGGATTAATCAAGCTATTCCTCTTGAAAGATATATTCATAGTTTTCATTAAATGCTCATTATTAGTATTAGGTATTTATTCTGATGATTGCTTGCTTAATTTAAGTTGATTTGGATTTATTTTTTGTGATAAACTTAATCTCCCCTATATTTTTGCTATAGGAGGTGGAATATTCTTATCCTTTTTACAATATTTATTTCCTATTTCTGACTTATACTTAGATGAAACATAGTAGTAATCATGGTCATCGTTATTAAATGATTCCTCAATTTTAATAGTGTTATTGTTTAAAGTTTGCTCTTTTATCATTATAAATTCTCCTTAATCTTTAATATTCTTAAATTGCTAAGTGGAATTGAGAGCAAGTATATTTTGAGTAGTTTAGCTTTCAATCTTGAGAGAAGATCGCTTTTGTCCAAGAGCAGTTTTAGCTTTTTTCCTAACGTTTATTATTTGAGCAATCGACATTTCTTTATCCATTAAATCACGCTTTTTTAATAAAAATTGCTGTATATATTTTTCGAAAATATAAAAGAATATATTTCATCATTCTGAATATTTTAGCTTTTCGGGGTTTTGGGGTTTTGGGG